AGAGACCTCTGGGAGACATGTAATAAAGACACGAGTGAATGCCACCCTCTTGTTAAGGCTGTCCCGTAAGTAGGATTCAAGGATGTTGTGCCTCTGATGCTGGAGATAATCTGTTGTCTATCCTAATTAGTAGCTATTGAGAGCCTTCCCCAAGAGTTTATCCAGTCCCTTCCTTTACTGTGGTGAATACTAAAGATTTGATTGCAATTCAGAGAAAAATCATCACGGTACTTTTCCTTTGTATGTTTGAAGACTTGCTGAGGACTTAAACTAAAATGATATGGTTTGATGTGTATCTGTGTGCTTGCATATAAATTTCAGGTCTCAGGTTTGTTTTAAACATTGAGGTGGTTAGTAACGTTCATCGTCGGAGATTTAGCTGGTGCGTGTCCTCTTGCAGTTGTGGTGCATACTGAATGCCAATAAAATGTACTGAGGGAGAAAACTACTGTAAGTTGATGCACGCCAGTGTTTGAGATCTTAGGGCAGCGCTGACTTGTGTTTGTTTCATTAAGCTCCTTCAAGCCACGCAATTATATAATGCAAATAAGGCAGGTTTGCATTCTGAGCTCTCCTGCTTTGCACCAAAACGCCAGTGAATCTAAAATGAGTTTGGGATATTTGTGCAAAATACTCCCGTCAATAAAAAGTGTGCTGGAGGGGGTTGCAGTTGTGTTGTCCAACTTAAGAACAGAGAAAAAGTCAAAGTTAGCTTTGGAGAAAACTTGTTGTGAGAACACTCCAAAGGAAGGGCAAGTTGAGAAATTAGGCTGGCTTTGTTATATACCTTCGAGGTTTCATTAATTTTATTTGATATTACGTAAAAATCCTGGCCTTTTAACTTCCTAACTACAAAGGGGCATGACCCCAGTTTTCTTCCAGACTCCTTTGCTATCTCTTTCAAGTTTTCTTACCTGATCTTCAGCATTTTAAATGTGTATTTTTTATGGTGTTTTTAAAAATAGTTCTTGATTTTTTAACCCTTTGGTGGCAGAAAGGTAGGATGAATAAGTTTTTTTAAAAGTGGTTTGCGTCAACCATGTTTAAACATTGGATGAAAACTAACCCAAACCATAGTTATCCCTGCTTCTTTGGTCCCTTTCGTGGAGAAGACAAGCAGATCTAGCTTATGTCCCCCTATGTGTGTTTTTGAGACCGTGCTTAGCTTGACATGGTAAATCATGGGCCTGCCATATCTTTTGAGGATTATTTATGGATAGTGACAAGTATTGGTTCAGTGGCATATTAACAAAGGCCCTAAGTGCTCACTGGAAGGACAGATCCTGAAGCTGAGGCTCCAATCATTTGGCCATCTCATGAGAAGAGAAAACTCCCTGGAAAAGACCCTGATGTTGGGAAAACATGAAGGCAAGAGGAGAGGGGGACAACAGAGTATGAGAGAGTTGGAGAGTGTCAATGAAGCGACCAACATGACTTTGACCCAACTCCGGTAGGCAGTGGAAGACAGGAGGGCCTGGCGTGCTCTGGTCCATGGGGTCACGAAGAGTCAGACATGACTTAAGGACTAAACAACAACAAAAAAGGTTTATTTATTCAAGTTGAACCAGAAATATTACAAAAAGAGGCAGAAGAGATGATTGCATCATCATATTTGGCCCTCTAAAGCAGTGGTCCCCAACCTTAGGCCTCCAGATGTTCTTAACAACTAAACAACAACAACAAAGGTTTATTTATTTTATTTAAGTTGAACCAGAAATGTTACAAAAAGAGGCAGAAGAGATGATTGCATCATCATATTTGGCCCTCTAAAGTGAGCTGCAAGGTTGGGGACCACTGCTCTAAAGTGAGCTGATTTCCAGATATTGGTGGAGTATCCCATCTACTTTAGGCAGCACAGCCAATAGTGAAGTACAATGAGGAACTGCAGGGCGACACTCCCCTAAGAGCTGTTGACTCCCGATTGCTGTTGTAACCGGCTCGGTGTATGCTATAAACCCTCCTTTTAGAACTGGATTCTTACTTCCTGTATATGCATTCATTCGTTCTGTGAGACAATCAAAAGTTTATCTCAGAACTGCTCAACTTGGTTGCTAAAATGATCTCAGGATGGCATCCCCTAAATGATTTGTCACAGATGACTTCCCACACTAATTTTAGCCTAAGTAAGGAAGACCGTAGAGGAAGGGCTGCTTTATCTTTAGCAAAAACGTGTGGTTGCTCTGTTTGGGAATCATCCTTGTCTCTGCCGACCTCAGATTTGTGCCTGTTGGTTCGGCCTCCTCTTTTTTTCTGCACCATTGACTGTGCAATAGATTTGATTTGGCTGGAATAATTTGAGGGATCTTGGGAAATCACTTAATGGAATTTGGTCCATGTCTGCATAATCTAGCTCTCTGCCTGACTAATTGAAGATGCTGCTTAATAAACTTGATATAAAAAAAAAACCTCCCTTTCGGTTTGCGTTCTGGAAGCTAGTATCTGGAGCACAAAGGCAATTCAGATCATTATGGTCTGCCTTCCTGCATCTCTAACTCAGTTCCGTGAGGAAGGTTAGAAAGCTGTATAACAAACGGGGAGGGGGGCAACGTGGGGATTGAGGCAACCTTTATAAAATGACCCTAAACATGATTTGTTCTCTGAAACTCCCTCAATAAAGAAGAACCTAAGCAGAGAGAACTTGGAAACCTCTTCTTTGCCACATTTCCCGAAATCTGTTTGAAGAGCTGCATTTGATATTCTCTCACCAGCGGCAAACTTTTAGATGTTGACTTTGTGCTCAGCATGAGAACACACATAAAGCCAGTATATTTTATTAGATACATTATTTAATACAGATTTTACACCCTGTACAAAAATGGGCAGTATTAGAATGCCAGGTATGTTAAAAGATATTCATTCCTTGTGGTAGCTTTTGAGTTTGTCTGCTGCTTACAGTGTTATAGTTGAGTATACCTTACCGTGGAGGGCGAGAAGAATACAGTACCTACCTTGTCTAGATACCAAGACAGAATGCAAATGCAAGAAATGAATCTTCACAGGTCATGGGGTGATGTCAAGTGTTGATTTTAGTAGGACACAAATCTTGACTTTTCGGTTCCGGCAGATTTGGAGCAGTAGAAACAGATGCGTTTGTAACTTATCCTAGAACTTCTCCATCTTTTTCAGTTCTTCATTACCAACTCAGGTCTTGGTTGACTCTTTTCATTGGCCTCCTTCCTCTTTGCCTTTAAGAGGGTGCCAAAAACTAGGCTGTTTGAAGAAGCCTTTAGGTTAAATGTTTTTCAAGAGATTTCCACCGTCTTGCTACTGGTTAGATCCATAGGGTCCCTTCTAGCTTTGCAGTTCTAAAATTATAATGAAAACTGCTGGGTAGCTCAGTGGTTTAAGTCTCTGACTGTGGAACCAGAGGCTGGGAGTTTGATTCTCCAGTGTTTCTCCTTGCAAAAGGCTTGAGTCGCAGATCCATGAGTTCCCTTCAAGCTCTGCAGTTCTAAGAAGATGAAGAAGGTTATTTTAGTCTTATATGCACGGTTGTATTGTTTTCTTATTTTTTAAATGTTTGCTTTTATTTGATGCCTTTTGTTTGTTATCTTTCATTGATTGTTTCTTTGGATGTAAACTGCCCGGAGTAGTGCCCAGCACTGATTGGGCAGTATATACATTTCTGAAACAACCAGCCAACCAACCAGTACCCTTTATAAAATTCCCGCTATTGGACTGCTGGGTAGCTCAGTGGTTTAAGTCTCTGGCTGTGGAACCAGAGGCTGGGAGTTTGATTCTCCAGTGGGCCTCCAGTGTGCAAAAGGCTGGAGTCACTGATCCATGAGTTCCCTTCAAGCTCTGCAGTTCTAAGAAGATGAAGAAGGTTATTTTAGTCTTATATGCACGGTTGTATTGTTTTCTTTTTAAAAAATGTTTGCTTTTACAGTGGGGTCTCGGCTTATGAACTTAATCCGTATTGGAAGGCAGTTCTCAGGTCAAAAAGTTCTTAAGTCGAATCTGCATTTCCCATAGGAATGCATTGAAAACCATTTAATCCGTATCTGCTCTTTTCGTCCATAGAAACTAATGGGAAGCTGCTATTCCGCCTTCTGCCACTAGAGGGGGATATTTTTTCTTTTTTCCTTTTAACCTAAGATGACTTAGCTTTAAAAAAAAGGAAAAAAAGAGTTCATAACTCGAATCTAAGTTCATATGTCAAGTCCATATATTCCTATGAGAGCGGTTCGTAAGTCGAAACGTTCGTATGTCGAGCCGTTCGTAAGTCGAGACGCCACTGTATTTGATGTCTTTTATTTGTTATCTTTCATTGATTGTTTCTTTGGATGTAAACTGCCCGGAGTAGTGCCCAGCACTGATTGGGCAGTATATACATTTCTGAAACAACCAGCCAACCAAGCAGTACCCTTTATAAAATTCCCGCTATTGGAAGACATGTCCTCGGCCTGGCACTACCATATTGTTGCTCTGGATATCAATCTGAACTCAGGTAGTCTTTTATCTTTCTGATGAGGAAGGGTGTGGGCAGTTAACTAAGACATAAGTCTTGCACAGAACTATTGTGTGGGTACGTCCTCTAACAGTAGCCAATAGGAGATGAAATATAAATGGGTTTGTTTTTTGAACAAGAATGGCTTTGGAAAATGATCATTCAGCCCAGGGTATTTACTATGTGTAGCTGAATTATTATTATTTAAATAAAACCTAGGTAGTCGTATGGTTTTCTGTTTGGGAAACAGCATTGGTAAGTGGAAACTATGTTTGTTGCGAGGCTTCAAGCTTTATGCATACAATAAAACTGTGGCATTCAGTATGCTTGAACCGTTTTATTATCTTAGTGGGTACAAGCAAAGGAGAATGTTTCTGCGTGTCTCCCTGTGCAGGTCCGGTTCAAATGAAGGAGTACCAGACACCTGCGAATCTGCTCTTTCTTTTTGTGGATCCGATATATGATAATGTGTTATCGGATTGCTTTGGATCAACCAGATCGTGTGTTTTGAATGCACACTACAGTGTTGTGTCTTTCTTCTTGTCTCCAGTAGATTAAAACAAAACCAGGCATATGTGCGAGATGAGATCGGCAAAGTTCTTGAACGAGAGAGGACTGCCTCGAACGAGCATTTGGCCAGAGCAATTTTTAGAGAAAGAGCTGCGACCGAAGAAGAACATCTGAAAGCCCAGCTCTTGGTAAGTGTAGCCTCTTTTTGGTGTTGTTTCATTTCGAAAGGTCATAAGGTAGTGAGTGGATTTTGATACACTCACAAGAATTAAGGTGACTTCTTCCCTTTTTACCCCGTTTTCCCGAAAATAAGACCTAACCTGAAAATAAGCCCTAGTCTGATTTTTCAGGACGCTTGGAATATAAGCCCTATCCCAAAAATAAGCCCCAGTTAAGTGAAACCCTGCCCTCCACCATGTGCAGCAACCAGAAGAAGATGGCACAACTGTATTTGCATAAATGCAGATAGTTGTACATGAAAAAATAAAACATCCCCCGAAAATGAGCCCTAATGCATTTTTGGAGCAAAAAATTAATATAAGACCCTGTCTTATTTTCGGGGAAACAGGGTATTAGGGTCACAGTAAGCCGGCATGTTTTCTGCATATACTGTAGTAATCTCAGTGCTATATTAAAGAATATGGTATTTGATACTCCTGTTTGAGCGTTCCTTCTGCATGCTGGCCAACCTCAGACCTAACCTGAACTACAGTGGTGTCTCGGTAGACAGTTACCCCGCATGACCGTTTTTTCGGTAGACATTAACTTTTTGCGATCGCTATAGCGATTCACAAAACAGTGATTCCTATGGGGGAATTTCGCTGGACCATGTTTGGTCCCTGCTTTGCAAACCAATTTTTGCTAGACAACAATTTTGACAGCTCCCTCCGTGCTTGCAAAATGGGTGTTTTCGGGACCTAAGCTTCGCAAGACAGCGATTTAAACAGCTGATTGGCAGTTCGCAAAGCGGCTTTCCTATGGCCGATCTTCACTAGAGAACGGCGATTCTTCTCCATTGGAATGCATTAAACAGGTTTCAATGCATTCCAATGGGGAAATGCTTTTCGCTAGACAATGATTTCGCTAAACAGCGATTTCAGTGGAACGGATTATCATCATCTCGCAGGGCACCACCGTACGGGCAAAGTGTTTGATTCCTCTTCAACATTTTTGTTTGTTTGTAAGATTCCTAAATCCCTAAATGCCCCAAAGGAGACAACTTGTACTAGTGAGAAGTTAAGGATAAAGGTGGTGATGATTATAAAGCATTTTTAATAAGGTCTTTAAAAATTAAATGTGTGTTTGTCGTCACTTTGGCACCTTATTTTCTACGGTCCCATCTGAGACACATTTATTCAAAGACTGCCCTCTGAACAAATGGAATCATTTAAGATTTAATCCAAGCAGTTTCCCCCATATAGTCTTTTTGATACTTCAGTATATGATTAAGGAAGGCCAATTTATCTCAGCTTGCAGAAAATATACAGTTGTTTTTCTTATCCAAAGTGAGACTTTCTGCTTTCTTTTTTAAGACCTCCCCTCTTGGATTTTTCCTATCCTCTTAGCCACAGATTTCTAGATGTTGACCTGTACTTTTTGAAGAACAAATAATGATATGCACGCCCAAAATTCTGTTTCTGAAACTTACTATAATCTCTCATGTTCCTTTATATATCTCAGATAGCCGTTGTAATGTTTTGATTGTGAATAAGGACCTGTTTACCTCATACATGGTGTAAGACAAGCGTATAAATCTCAGTGACAAATTACCGCTAGTTAGGAAGTCATTGCTTCTGTTTCTTATTCTGCACCAGTTGGTTTGCAGCAAGGAATACACGTGTTAACTCCTTAACTATTTATGGTTCTCGCTGCTGAGATTTATGCTGTTTGGCGTGCTTTATTTATTATTTATTTATTTATTACTCCCACCCATCTAGTCACATGTCTAATCTGGGCGGCTAACAATACAAAATGGAATAAGAATAGTATGATAAAATAAAAAGCAACAATAATAATATAGTTCAAGATGGGGAAAAAAAATAAAAAAATAATCAAGTGATGACAGGAGGGAAAGCCTGCCTAAAGAGCCAGGTCTTAAGTACACTATAAATAAATAAATAAAAATAAAGAGCCAGGTCTTAAGTACACGGGCATGTGAAAGCAATAGGATTCTGGACTTTGTGAAATAGAATGCCAGCTTTCATCTTTATAAAGCTTTATAAGGAGGCATTGGAAACAGAAGGAAGTTTTGAAACAAGTGCTTACTTAGATCTGTTCAGAAGTCACCTGTGCTCATTTGTTTACTCCTGAGTATGTGTGTATAGGGTTGCAGTCTAAATTGTTTAATTTTGGCCTTTTGTGAGATATTCGTAAGTTGGAAAAATTCAGCAATATTTGCATTAGTGCCAACAAATAATTTTGGTTTGTTTTAATAATTTTGATCTTCCTCTTCAGCCAGTGAGGCTGCACCTACAGAGATCACTGATGTGGCAGTCCTTACTCCTAAACTCTGCAGTGTAAAGGATATAAGGAAAAACAATTGGAGGGAAGAAAGGAAAAAGAACCTAATTCTGCCAGTAGATTTTCGTTACAAACGTCTTAGAATGGCCAGCTGTATTCCATAGCAATTCTGTGCCAAAAGCTTCTTATGAAGGGCTTTGTGTTGAAAAGCTATGTGTGGAGCAAAGGATTTTACTCATGTTTGAATAGTTTTAGATGTGGTGACATTGCCATAAATACTTTATTGACATTCCATCACTGCAGAAATTATGAGTCTCAGGATGAAGTGTGGAAAGCATGGAGTTTAAAAGAACAAATCTATCAATAATAGAAGTTATCAAGGGTAGTTACAGTACCTGCTCCTTGTATTGTCTAGATATTTACTGTTCGCATGTTTGCTTCGCTGATTGGGCTTAAATGAGCTGTTGTTAACACCTTCCATTTTGGAGAGCAGTTTTATTGAGTTGCCAGTGATGTTAAGGTCTCGTTTCTTATTGAACTGGCAAAAAACCAAAACAAAACAAAACAGCCCTGTGGACTTGGTGTAAGATATAACATTTAAAGTTGATTATTGGTTGGAAGAATTATCTGTAGTAATGAACTATACATGTGTAATGCCTTTAGCAATTTGCCCTTAAATTAAAATAGAATTTGTCAATTTGTAACAGGGGTGCACATATGTGCAGATACCTTCATTTCACTCACCTGGACAAGGCCTAGGCCTTCTTTTTGGCCTGCTGCAATGCTTGCTGGGCTTGATAGTCTCATTGCCTTTTATGTTCTGTAGAAGGTGCCTCCCGAAGAACCCCCACCCCTAGGAAGCATTAGGCAACTTCCTCCCAAGAAGCATTGCACAGGAAATGAATGCCTTGAAAGAGGCCTAGAAGGGAGGTATTGTTGTTGTCCAGGTGAGTGAAATAATTATGTCTGGAGATAATGTGTCTGTCGGCTGGAATTCTCAGAGGTCTGCCTGGAGTGCAAAAACAAATGAATGAACCAACAAATAACATTCCCTTAGCTTGTACAGTGGTCCCCCGCATAGCGACGATAATCCATGCAGCAAAAATCGTCGCTATACGGATTCGTCGCTATGCGGGGGAAAAAAGCCCATAGGAATGCATTAAAACCTGTTTAATGCGTTCCTATGGGCAAAAAACTCACCTTTAAGCAAAAATCCTCCATACAGCCGCCATTTTCGCTGCCCGGTAAGCAAGGAATCGTTGTGAAAACACAGCGGGCGACCATTTTACCGATCATCGCAAAGCGATATTTTCCCATTAAAAACATCGCGATGTGATCGCTTTTGCGATCACAAAAAATCATTGCCCGATGTCACTCAGGAGGACCAGAATAAATCAAAGCACAATACAGTGGTGCCCCGCATACGATCGCTTTTGCGATCGCAAAAAATCATTGCTTTGTGGATTCGTCATTAAATGGGCCGCCCGTTAAGCGAGGCACCACTGTAATTCATTATTTAAAATGAGTTAGACATAAGAACCTAAGTAGAGCCCTGCTGGATCAGGCCAAGGGCTCCTCTAGTCCAGCTTCCTGTATCTCACCGTGGCCCCACCAGATGCCTCTGGGAGCACACAAGACCACTAGAGACTTGTTTCCCGATTCCCCTACTCTACATCTGGCATTTTGAGGTACCTTTCTTTTAAGCCTGGAGATTATATATCCCCATCATGGCTTGTCACCTGTTATGGACTTTTCCTCCAGAAATCTGTCCATTCCCCTTTGAAAAGCATCTAACACTCCATTGGAGTAGATGTCTCCTGGTTCTAGTACAGTGGTGACTAGACGTAAGAACTTAATTGGTTCCGGAACTCTGGTCGTAACTCGAAACGGTTGTAAATTGAAGCACCATTTCCCATAGGAATGCATTGAAATGCAATTAATCCATTCTGGCAGAAGAAAAAAAATCACAACACACACACACACACACACAAACACACACACACACACTACTGCAAGACCCATCGGAACCAGGATTAAAAAGAAAACAAAGGAAAAAGCAAAGGGAGCACATCAGAAATGCAAACAAAACAAAGGAAGAAGCAAAGAGAGCGCTTCGGAAATGTAAAGAAAACAAAGGAAAAAGCAAAGGGAGCACATCAGAAATGCAAGGGAAGCATGCAAGACCCATCGGAAATGGGGAAAAAACCCACAAAAAGCAACCAAACCCCCCAAGACCCATTGGAAAGGGGGGGCAAAAAACAAACAAACCCACCAAGACCCATCACAGCACAGAAACATAAACCCCCAGCCCAAAACCACGCTGCAAAACTCACCCAGAACAGTTTTTAAAAAGCAGAGAGCAGCACCTTACCTTTACCAGGCAGTCTGAAGCCTCCTCCAATCGCCCGCTCTCTAACTGCTGGAGCAAAAGAGCAATAAAGAAGCAGCCTCTTTGCGTACCAACGGTTAGCAATTTGAGTTCCCTGCCTTTTTCTGTTCGTAACTGGAAGTGCCGTCTGCAAGTCGAAGCAAAATTTTGCGGCCGGAGCTGGTTGTAACTCGAAATGGCCGTAAGTCGGGACGGCTGTAAGTCGGCCTATATTGCATGAGAGGGAAAAGATCTTCCCTCTCTCCACTTTATCCATCCCCTACATAATTTGGTATGTCTCAATCATGTCCCTGTCAGGTGCCTTTTCTCTAGATTCAGGAGCCCCAAACACTGTCACCT